ATTTTTCTAAAACCACTTTGAGGTAATGTACAATGCCAAAAAACAGTTACCTTGTATTAGGCAACGGAGGTTTTTCGATATTTGTACCTAGCACCCCCCCCCCCACCATCAGCAAGTAATCACGCTGATCTGTTGGCGAGGACATGCCGTAGTTTTACAGTCAAAGTGTTCATGTTCTAGTGTATAATTGTATTGTTTCTATTGAATTGTTTTTTTGAAAAATTATAATATTTTGTATTGAAGTGTAAAATATGTCAATCTTTAATTGCCTACGATGAGAGGAAAAAATGCACATAATAAATTATTCATAAATTGTATAATCTATTTCTTTTCTAAATTTTCTCTGAAGGAAGAAAAAGTTAAAATATTTTCTAATCAAAGCTTCTATTATGAAAACATATTCAGCGGAAAAATGCATCATATTTGGGAACTATCAACATGCATCATATTTGTGGACTATCTGGCATTTAGAGATTTTACCAGATATTTTCATTCTATTCGAACTCTTTTTATGAAAAGGACTTTCAAAAAACAAAATGGACATTTTTAACAAAATTGAGGACTTTTGTAATTATAACTTATTTATTTATCAGTATTCCATATTTATTATGTTAAAGTTTTAAAATTAGTCATATATTATATATTTATTTATAACTCATAGTTTCTATGTTCAAAATTTCATGTGCTATAAAGTCAAAATTTTATATGAGAAAGTCATGAACTATGATAGGTCATAGTTAAAGGTCGTACGCTATGTCCAGGATGTTTTCATGTCTTTTCTCATACTCTTGCTTTATCCTGTACTAATGCTTTTCTCACCCCGGCCTCTCCTTTTGGCGGGGGGGGAAGATGTAAGATATCAAAAAAAATACGATGGCTTTGCTCTTTGCGAACCAGCAACCTTTAAATAATTTTCTTCAATTCAGGATCTTTCCCTAAACCAGTACCTTCTAGAACATTCGCACCTATTACATAACCTCCTCATATAAAGACTGCGTCATAAGTTTTTCTTCATTTTTCTAGAAGCTACTCTGTCCTTTTTTTCTACTCTAACCTTTCATATCTATGCTGCGTCATAAGTTCTATACAGATGCCTTCTCGCCTTCGTTCTGCTAACGCTTCCGCTATGCTCCTCTTTCTTTGTTAGAACGTTATGACGTATTAAAGTTTAAAGTCAGTAGTATCTAATAGTTCCATTACTGAATAAGTTATTTGATTAACTTCATCTGGAAAAAGTCATCTGCTCTAAATTAAAATAAAGATATGCTTGCTGCTAAAAGTGAAAAGTCCTGAGTCTTCAGTTTTCTCCGTGCTTCAATCATTGCAGCTTCGTCAACCATCTGCCAGAACGTGTAAGGGAATAGCCTCACCATTCGCCCACGATGTGTTGGAGTAACTGAAAACATTAAATATATACTTTAATTGCGGCCGATTGCAACCAAAAAGGCACGTGCACAACTACACATTATAGCAGTTCTATATGCAAAATTGAAACGTTCTGAGGCTCCTCGTTTTTGAATTATGCGAGATACATACGTACGTATGTACAAACGGTACGAAAAAATATCTTCTGAATCCATTTTAAACCAATTTTATAATTCGTTTGGGGAAAAGTGTCCCTTATTCTGTCCCTACGTACCGATGTTACGCCAAAACATCATTAAATTGCGGAAGTAATTAAGTATGAAACTAGGTAAACTCGAGTGAATTAAAACATCATGATGAACATGCTGATGAAACATTTGCGAAATAAATTAAAGCTACTGAACTGCATGAAATTCATATCAAATCGAATGATAAAATAAAATTTCCTTTTAAATACTTAATACATTAAAAAAGACCTTTTATCAAATTAAATTATCTTGAGTCACGTGACAATCATTCAGACGACGCTTCAGAGGAAGCCTTTCAAACAATGGTCAATCCACTAAAATGTGACACACAGATAATCCTTCATTACAACTTGAGCACTCATTCTAAGAGCACATTAGATTCATTCTCAGGATTTAACAGACGACTATGCAGAACTTTAGAGTGACCACTTCTAAAGCAAGTCAAAAGTATATTCTCCCTCCTGTTCTCAGTAGCCTCCCAATGTTTCATTCTCGATTTTATGTTTTTAACTAATTATGAATCCGCCCCATTTGCTCAGAGTAACTTCCATTTGCTCAGCTGTTTTGCTTGATGACCTTGCAGATATTATTAAGAATAACAAACTGGGTTGATAACTTCACAGCGAACATTTCTGTGATATTTTCAGGGTCATAATCGTTTATTCCTACATGTCTGAGAATAGAATAGTTAAAAAATTGATACCTACGGCTCATGAAGTTCATACTTTAGCACAATGAGAGTAGCAAAATTAGATTTTTATAGAAGCTAAACTGAGTACAGTAAGTAACTCATTACACTCATTTCCAATTGAAGATAAATTCATTTCAGTGAGTACATAAGAGTAGAAGGTATGTATCCTGTTGCAACACAGCAGGAAAAATCTCTGGAAAATTCTTTAAAAAATGAGAGAAACAGAGAGAATGCGAGAAAGAAAGAAAAATATTCTATGCGTTTTAAATTTTAATTCAAAGCACCCAACATGCGTGAGCCATAATTTAAAAAAATATGTTTTGTGTGTCCAATTTAAAGAACTGTCCAAGAAATGATTTCAAAGTAGTGTCTAATTCTTTATAGCTGAAAAATCAGAAGGAAGGTAAATATTTATTAATATTATTTACAAGCGGTAATGGGTTTTCAACTAGCATTCGAGTCTCTTCGGAAATAAAGGCGACAATTCTGTGAATGGAAAGCTCTTGGACAAGCAACGTTAACCTGCTCGATTGCTTTATATCTGTATGCGTTTGAATCAAATTCGTTATAAAAAGGCTCAGCGGTGTACTGTTCACTTTAAATTTAATGGTAACATTTAATTTCTCTATGTATTTAGATACTTTGCTAAATGAAGTAATTTAATAATTTTTATTTAATTATAAGTAAAACTTTCTCATCGAAAAGCCAGTTAGTCTCTCGATTGCATTTATTTAAAGCTCTAGAACAGAACAAAATTCGCCTTTCACCCGGACAACGTGTAATTTTCAATTTAAAACTTCTGAAGCAAGAAATATTTTCACTTACAGCGCACTTATTTTTTATACTTCGCTATAAAAACATTTAAAAATATCATTTGTGTTGCACTAATTTTAAGAGATTTGCTTGGCAAGTTTATTGGGAAGCACGGTGCAGAATACTGAAGAAGACTATGGGTAGTCTTAGAATTTCGAATATGATTTATGGAAATATCTAGTATAGGTAGGAAAAAAACAAGGTTTTCAAAAGAAATCTCCTTTTTAGCTGCAATCATGTTATTACAGCTGCATTGCATCCAAATGTGTGACTAAGTTAACCGAAATAGAAAATTCGATGACTTTATCTTTATTAGTCAGAAATTAAAGCAACTAAAAGAGCTATTGCCATATTGTTGAATAATTTGTTCTGCAATGAAACAATTTTTAATGATTAATGAAGTAAATTATTTCTAAAATACAGGGTATACACAAAGAAATTGTGCAGGTTCAACAGTTAATAACAAATAGTATCACTAATTTCTCATTTTACACGAGCGCAACTCACATTGTCAGCAGCAGCAACTATCCGTGCTTGCGTACAGTTCGTTGTTCGATTCGTGATTAAAGTACAGCGAGAGTTTCAGTTACAGTTAAAAAGTCTACAGCAGTATGAGTTTCCATAAAATTATGTTTCCTGTGCAGCTCTAGAAAATGCCCTCTTTTCCTCCCCTGAAGCAGACATCTTTTTAGAATTTTCCCAGTGTCTGGAAGAAAGCTGTTGTCATTCACGTAATTAAGCCAGGAAAAGACCCGAAATATCTCTCCAGCTAATATGCTCATCGTACTTAGAAGCTGCTTTTGCAAATTTCTTGAGAAAAGGGTAATCCGCTTTCTGGTCTACTATTCAGGAAAACAGCATAATCTCTCCATATCAAAGTGATTTCCGAAAAAGGTAGAGAGACTGTTGACAATAAGCGGCTCTATGATAAGGCCTAGAAAACGGCATATGATAAGGCCTGGAGATATGGAATTTTTCGTGACATATATGAGAGTGGCTTGCATGGTAATTTAAGGTATTTACACAAATTGTTTTGGGCTAGGATTTTCCAGGAAAAATTTGGTTCTATGTTCTCAGGTAACATTTTTCAAGAAGAGAATGAGCCTCAGGGCTGTGCCCCAAGTGTGACTTCATTCAGTCTAAAAATAAATTTAGCTCTAAAAGAACTTCTTCCTCCAACTGCGTTTGACCTTCAAATGAGTTACCAAGGTGCGGATATGAGGCATATCGAAAGACAGCTGCAGATCGCACCTAACAGGATTCATAAATGGCCAGATAGGCATGGATTTGTTTTTTCTAATAAAAGGACAGTCTGTGTACACTTCTGCCGCAGAAAGAATATTTACACTGAGCCAGAGATTCACTTTCAAGGATCACAGATTTCAGTCATTTCTGAAGTAAAGTTGTGTGAAATTTTTGGGCGTACCTTTTTATAGAAAACTTACATTTATTCCGCTTGTTCTGTATTTAAGGAAGATATGCTCCAAAGTTCTTAAACTCTTAAACGTTCTTGTGATTACATCATGGGGTGCAGATAGCTCCACAGTGTTTCGCACTAACCGAGCACTCATCCGTTCAAACCTAGCTTATGGCTCGGTGGATTATATAGATAAGCACGATCTTCAATTTATTGCAATTAGATTCTATTCATCATCAAGCTTTGGAAGAGTCAGAACGTCTCCTGCGCAGAGTCTGTATTTTGATTATTTCAAACCGTCGCTCCAATTTAGGCGTGAGCATTTGTATTTTCGGTACTATTTTAATAGAGTCACCTGATCACTCTGGTCGAAACTTTATCCTTGATAATTCTTTGCGGTTCATCCATATTGTGTGCCTTATTTTTCCACGAGAATCCATGTCACTGACTCATGAATATGGCTTACCTGGCCTGAATTTTCAACCTGTAAATCACTTTGAAATCCCTTCTTGGAAGAATGCACAAATGCAGCTTCTTGATGTTTTCCCACATCAACAAAAAGTACTAACGAGATCATCTACAGGCAAATTTTTCTGCAGCGTAGGAATAAATACAGTATTTATCATCTTAATATATACAGATGAATCGAAAGGAGCCAATTATGTTGGCACATGATTCGCAATTGATGACTATAGGAAGGGCAAACGACTGCAAGAAACCTGCACAGTTTTTTTACATCGAAACTAATTGCTGTGCCTAATGACGTTTTAGATATATCTAACTTATGCCGGAAAAATTACAATTTACGCTGACTCTTATAGTACATTAAAAGCTATGGAAGCGTATTTGGACACACAAAATCCTGTAATAGTAGAAGGTTTAAAATTAGATTTACACTTAAAGAGCCATAGGTAGAAGAGTCTTTACTGCTGGGTTCTGGGATATGTGGGGATAGAAGACAATAAGCTTGCACTCATCACAGCAAATTTGGCTGTAGAACGTCTAGTGGATCCTTTCCTTTTTTGTAATATCTGTAGGGTTATAAATTAGAAAATCCTGAGAAAATGGCAGCGACTGCGGAATGGCGAGTAACAAGCTGAAACGAATAAAACCTGTGGTGGAATACTTTGAGGCAAACGGGAACCGAAAGGAGGAAGTTCTAGCACACTCCTGAATCGGTCACATTCGAATTACCCGTAAGTGTATCTCTTAAAAGCTGAGAGTGCACCTGTTTGTTCTTTGTATAATGATGTTCTATCGGTAAATATTTTAATGACTTGTCTATATTTTAACAAATTTGGTTTCAAATAGTTGAATAAATGTGATGCAAGTCTTAACCAAGTAATTTGAAAACTGACTAGAGATAACTTCTTTCTTTATTTAAGAAAGACTAGTTTTTATAATCTTATCTGAGTCTTTTAATGATATTTTATATATGTACGTATTCTATGCTTTGTTATTTTAATTGCTTTTATACTTGTATACATTCATCCTCTTCAGGCATCGCATTTTAAAGTTGTCATGAAAATATTTTATTTCTTGTTTTAATATTATTTTTTTCTCAAAAGAAAACTGATGTGTACACCACATGACTTTCTTGTACGGGATATGAAATTATACGCAGGTTTTCCTGCATTCAAGTTAAGCTTATTTCCTATAATTTCATTACAGATATATTTCTCAATCAATTAATTCAGTTCTCGCTTGGCAGCAAGGCAAAAATACATAAAATCTCAAAATATTTTTATTAAAAATTGAAAGATATAGAAAAACATAAAACATCAAATGCAGTTAAAACAATTAACAAAACAATTTTTACATATAAAATTACAGTTTCTAAGCAAAAACAAACATTTCGGTCAGCGGATAAGAAGAAGATTTTTCGGTGCACAAAACTAAAAGTTTCCTTTTGGTTCACTCGGCAAAATGTCACTCAAGGTGAAGAAAGAATAAATTCACTATTCTGCCAAGTTTCAAATATAAAAAAGTATGGCTGTTGTGGTTAAAAATTAGGCTTAGCCACACTTAAACAACTTTTAAATTGTTCATGATTCTACAACTATTGCATGCAGATTAACTAAAGGCATAAAAACCTTAACCGGATGATAAGAAAAACATAATTCAAACATTTTTAAAGCAAAAAATGCACAATATACCAACATATAAAAATTAAAAAAAATCTGAGCTGAGTCGAGTAACATAAAGTGGGTATATATATAATATATATATATTCATATACTGTTAAGTGGATTATAATGTTTTTGTTTGTTCAATAAGTAGCCGACATTTAGAAAAGGAGATGGTAGTTCTGTGTGAGACCAAACGTTACGAATTCTTAATTCTGAAATAATCACTCAAATATGATGAAGCCCATATAATGAGAAGAATTTATACGAGCTAGTTAAAATTGCCAAACTGAATTTTGAAATATATGGAATGCAAAAAGAAAAACATGCGCTATAAGTATGTTTTATTTGTATTAATATGTTTAATTTTATAAGACTATTTAATTCTTGTAGATCCTCTTGAAAATTTATAACTGAAAGCATTATAAATCGAATATTAATTCAGATTTACACCTAGTCTTTCGAACAGTCTGAATGTTTTGAATAAACATTAGCCTACTAATGGAGAGTTTATTTTATATAACGTTTTGAATATATCTTGTAATTTATCATTTATTTCGCTGAAATTGAAAAACAGTTGAAAGGGCATAAAGAATTTTCGGAGCGCGAAATTCAGATTAAATTTTAAATGCAAATCCTGAAAATTTGTACTGCTTTATAGAAATTTTCAGTAATTTTTACTGTGTTCGGATAACGTTTGAGAGTTTTCTGTCTTCTGCCAACAAGTAGAAGAATCTAGAGGACTGATTCATGGTTTATGACTTAGCGGGCAAAATAAATGCTTTTCAGGAAGCTATTACGCCACTGGACAATTTGTCTCCTCTTTCCAATAACGGTGGGTTGTAGCAAACAGTAGCATTCCTTACTTGCATTTAATCATTCTTACCTAATATGGCTGAACATATTATATTTTAATCAGCTATTAGTAGCTGGAGAATTTATGAATATTTTAAAGTCCACATAAAGTTTCCAACAGAAAATCAAACATTTGCAGCACCGTAAACTTGAAAAACTGTAAAATGAAACATTTGTAAATGGATGACTTCCAATATTACGTTTTAATCGTTTTTGTCAAAAATGTTTATTGGTTGTTCTTTCTTTGTTATCAGCAAATATATACATGCACCTGATATTCTTGGAAAACGGAATCCCTGAAACATTTTTGAAAATAATTATGACCTTGTCTGAGTCGACGGCAAAAATTGCCTAGTACAATAGCTGGTAGATAATCTCTGATTTGTTTGACTAAGTCCCCAAGTAAAAACGTCTAGGAACAATGATTGAGTCCTTTCTACAAAGGTTGTTTTTCTTTTATTCCGAAGGGACGTGTTTTTCTTTCAACAAGTGAAAGGATTTGCGCAATCAATGTTTTGCATCTTTTCTGTGCTAAGGTTCATAAACCCGGAATTCGATCAATCAGAGTTCTGTCTTAAAGCACTAAATTATTACCAGTGAATTCATGCACAAATTGTTCCAAGTTATTTAGAATTTGATCAAATTCCAATCAAAATATGATCCTATCTCAAATAGCTTTTCGTTCATTCAGTGCTTCAGATAAGTCAGATTCTGAGAAATAGTTTACACTATTTTAAATGGAATGACTGGGAAATTTCAGTACGTGATGTTCCAAATGGGAAGTTTTCAGAATTGCGAAAAGATATTTATAGCATAAGCCTAAGAACTATAAGCTTAATACAATAATAATAATAATACTAGTTCTTAATATAAAAATTAAAATATTTATTACCTAGTTAAACTTGAAATTCCAATAACTTTTATAAATACCGTTAAAAACGTAAAGACGACATTTGTGGTATTTGTCACATTCTTGCAACTAGGTGGCGGGCATCTCTTCCTTTACTTTTGCTGTAATTAAGTTCCGAGAACCAGTGGAGATTGGAACCGCTCTGAGGAGCGTAAAGACTCAGAACTAAAATGTACTGTCTTAAAATAATTATCACCTACCTTGTAAATAGTGTATATTAGCTTTTTATTTCAATAAATAATTAAAAGACAAGATGGCTTGTTAGCAGTAATAGAAACTCTTACTGAAAACATGATTATTAGAAGCCTGGCGTCGTGAACACTGAAGATGCAGCAGGTAAGGAATTTAACATTTTATTGTAAATAGAAGAACCTGATGCAACATTTTTATGGCGCCCGAACAGGGACGCCAGGTTTTTTGAAAAGTTCTAATAAAGTGAATTCAAAAGCTGAATATTAAAATTGAAGATTTTAATACTTGTTCTTGAAGTATTCAGCAGAAGAATAATTTTGTTTTCTAAAAAGTAAGAGTTAGTAAATATTTGTTTTTCATGAAGACGTATATTTTTTTTTGTGTAAGTGTTTGAATCTAAGAAAGATAATGGCAGAAGTAGAATAGATAAATTAAAAAAGAAAAGAAGTATCTTAAGAACTGCCGTTACAAAAACTATTTAAGAAAATCGAAAGTGAATTAAATAAATCTGAAGGTAGTGTATTAATGAGCTCGAAGAATTGTTAGAACAGCTTAATGCTAAAACCGAAATACTGTCTAATGCCGATGTAGATGTTGAACCAATTCTGAGTGTAGATGAATTCGAAAATTGAATTCGAAATTACAAGAACAATATCGCGAGAGATGATAACGTTATGGCAAATTCAGGCTTAAACGGAATTCAGAAACGTATTAAGGAAATTAATCATGACCCTAGTGCGAAGATTTCAGTAGTTTCGGTCCAGGATAATGACTTAAATGCACCGAACACTCAGCAAAATATAAAAGACACACCTAATGTTAAATTACCAAAACTTTCGATTCCCGTATTTTATGGGAACAGTAGTCAATGGCTTACTTTTTGGAATAGTTTTGAGTCCGCAATACATAATAACGAATCATTGAACACGCACGAGGTCAACGGTTTCGCAACAGCAAAAAGTAGACAAATTTAATTACCTGAAAGCATATTTAGGAGGAACAGCTGCTAGTTGCGTTCAAGGACTTCCGTTATCGCCGAAACATTATGATTCAGCAATTCAAATCTTACACGACCGTTTTGGAAGGAGAGACATTCTTATTAATGCGCACATGAATGATTTGCTGAATGTTGAATCATTAAAAAATACGAATGACAAAAACATTTCGTAACTTGTATGATAAAGTACAAACACGCAGATTAGATGGTCTCGAAAGCGTTAGATGTTGTATCGGAATCTTACAGCGCTTTGCTGTGTCCGATGATTTTGAAGTTATTGCCTTCAGAATTAACGCTTGAATTTCATAGAACACAAAATGTTGGCACCGATTATAACATAAAAGATTTAATGTCATTTTTACACGCAGAACTTTCATCCCGTGAACGCACGAGGTCAACGGTTTCGCAACAGCAAAAAGTAACTTGTTCTATTTGTAAAAAACAACATGCAACTATTATGTGTAATAAACAAAATCCTTCTGTCGAGGTTTCGGAAA